TACCAAGTTAAAACAGCAACAGTTTACAAGTAAAACCGACAGATGGTGGCGATAATCCAAATCACACCCAATGATAGGAGTAGCATCCAGCGAGGTCTCAGGCCAGAAGGTGTTCTAGATTTCAGGCCAGAAGATGTTTCAGGGGTATTTGCTCATTTTTAAACTGTTTTAATATTTTCTAGTAGTATACTCTGTATTGCTCCTTCGTCATTTTTGCAGTTAATCTATTATTGTTATATACTTTAATTACTGTTTTATGCACTATTCGTTGTTGATTGTATTTGTTGTCGTTTTATATTTGAAAATTTAATAAAAATATATATTTTTAAAAAAGAAGATGTCCCAGGGCACATTCATCAGTGGCGGCTCCTAATCGAAAGCCTGGTGGAAGAGCTCCGTTATAGAGGCCCTGCAGAACTGTAAAAGGTCCCGCAGGGCCCTGATGTCCTCTGGGAGCTCATTCCACCAGTATGGGGCCGCTACTGAGAAAGCCCTGGCTCTGGTGATATTCAGCCTGGCTTCTTTCAGACCAGGGAGGGTCAAACGATGTTGCGACCCTGACCTCAGTGCTCACTGGGGCACATTTGGGGAAAGGCGGTCCCTCAAGTAGGCAGGCCCCTGACCATATAGGGCTTTAAAAGTTAAAAACAGCACCTTGAACCAAATCCGGTACGCTATAGGCAGCTAGTGCAGTGTCCTCAACACAGACTGGATGTAGTCCCGTATAGAGTGACCCATCAACAGCCTGGCTGCGGTATTCTGCACTAGTAGCAGCCTCCGTATCTGGGACAAGGGCAGCCCCATGTAGAGAGCATTGCAGTAGTCTAATCTCGAGGTGACTATTGCGTGGATCACTGTTGCTAGGTCATTGCGTTTGAGGAAGGGAACCAACTGTCTAATCAGCTGGAGATGGTAACAGGCTGCCTTGGCAGTGGCTGCTGCCTGGGCCTCCATTGTTAAGGAGGCATCCAGGAGCACTCCCAGACTCCTAACCCTTGGCACTGGCACCAGTGGCACCCCACCAAAGGTCGGTAGTGGGATCCCTACCCCGAACCTGCTCCGTCTTCGTTGGATTCACTTTCAATAGACTCAGTCTAAGCCAGCCCACCACATCCTGAAGCGCCCGCTCCAGGTCATCCGTGCTGGAGTCTGACCGGCCACCCAACAACAGATATAGCTGGGTGTCATCAGCGTACTGATGACACCCCAACCCGTGCCTCCGGGCAATCTGGATGAGGGGGTGCAGTTAGATGTTAAACAACATTGGGGATAGCATCACCCCTTGAGGCACCTCGCACGACAGCGGGTGACTCTGGGACGTCTGCTCCCCTAACGCCCCCCTCTGTCCCTGACCCTGGAGGAAGGAGACAAGCCATTGCAAGGCAAGTCCTTGGATTCCAGTGTCAGCGAGGCGGTGGATCAGTAACTGGTGGTTGACGGTGTCAAACGCCGCCGACAAATCCAACACCAGTACCGCCGTACCACCTCGATCCAGATGCCTTCAGAGGTCATCTGTGAGAGCGACCAGTGCCGTCTCCGTCCCATGACCTGACCGGAAGCCAGATTGGAATGGGTCCAGCATGGAAGTGTCATTCACAAAGCTCTGCAACTGAATCACCGCTGCTCTCTCCAGTACTTTGCCTAAATAGGGCAAATTGGAAACCGGCCGATATTATGGTAGGAGGGGCCAATGAAGGCAAAAGTGCCTAGGGCTCGTGAATAATAATAATGCCGCTCTGAGCTTTGAGCCAAAGTGAAATTTTGAGCCACACACAAGATGCAGGGCAGTCTCCAGTGCTGCTGAAAAAAGACACAGTAAGAGCACTGCTGGATCAGACTCAGGAAGGATCCGCCCAGCCCACTGTCCTGTTTCCAAACGTTGGGGAACCAGATGTGTCCAGTGGGGGGGGGAACATTTCCATATATAATCAAGCGAGATGTCTGACCTTACTGCAGGGCAAACCAAGTCCCAGTTCGCCCTCAGGTTCCTACATTTCACTGATTTAATACCCATCACTATTTGCATTTAAAGTAAAGTAAGATTGTTTTCACTGGACTGAATCTACAGAGAAACCAAGAAGCAACTACAGTTAAGAACATAAGAACATAAGAGACGCCAATGTTGGATCAGGCCAAAGGCCCATCCAGTCCAACACTCTGTCACACAGTGGCCAAAAATACCAGGTGCCATCAGGAGGTCCACCAGTGGGGCCAGGACATAAGAAGCCCTCCCACTGTTGACCCCCCCCAAGCACCAAGAAGACAGAGCATCACTTGCCCCAGAGTCCCTATCTATACCTTGTGGCTAATATCCCCTGATGGACCTCTGCTCCATATGTTTATCTAATTCCCTCTTGAAGATGTCCATGCTTGTAGCCGCCACCACTTCCTGTGGCAGTGAATTCCATGTGTTAATCACTCTTTGGGTGAAGAAGTACTTCCTTTTATCCATTCTAACCCGACTGCTCAGCAATTTCATTGACTGCCCACAAGTTCTTGTATTGTGAGAAAGGGAGAAAAGTACCTCTTTCTCTACCTGCTCTATCCCATGCATAATCTTATAAACCTCGATCATGTCACCCCTCAGCCATTGTTTCTCCAAGCTAAAGAGCCCCAAGCGCTTTAACCTTTCTTCATAGGGAAAGTGTTCCAACCCTTTTATCATTCTAGTTGCCCTTTTCTGCACCTTTTCCAAAGCTATAATATCCTTTTTAAGGTGTGGTGACCAGAACTGTACACAGTATTCCAAATGAGGTCGCACCATTGGTTTGTATAGAGGCATTATGATATTGGCTGATCTGTTTTCAATACCCTTCCTAATAATCCCCAGCATAGCATTGGCCTTTTTTATTGCAGTCACACACTGTCTCAACATTTTCAGTGAGTTATCTACTATGACTCCAA